TTTTGAAAAAGTGTTATTTTTGTAAAGATTTCGAAAGTCACATTTTTGTAAAGTGACATTTGAAAAGTTGTATTTTTTGAAATTTCTCAAAAATATAATGATAATATTGACTGTTTTCAGAAAATATTCAAATTAAAAAAATATCATACGTGTTTCGATGAAGATTTGACCAACAGAAATAAGTTAAAGTTTATAGAAAATCTCTGCCTACGTATACATGATGAAATCTTTATACAATATTCTAGAGATCGAAACATTACATATTAGCCATTATCTCCCTAATCACGATAGATAAATTCAGGAAGGAAAATCACAAATGGATAAGATCGGAAAAGAAAACAATATTTGTTGCCATAAACAGAAAATAATACGTTTTGGAATTGATTTATGATACAGTTAAGACAGCTGAACCAACACAATAAGAGAGTTTGGATAAAACAGAACTTGCTTGAACAAAACTAAAATGTTTTATCCGTTACAAATAAAAAAGGGTCAATTTGTTGAATAGCAAAAAAAAACTTAGATATAAAAAAGTAACAAAAAATCTTAAATCTAATGGTTAAAATGTTGCCACCTAGGGAGATTTTGGTTAATTTGTTAAATATAATTTGTTTTTATTGATATTCTACAGATTATCCCTAAAAAAAAATAAAAATTTTTTATTCTTATGGAAATGAATAAAAAAATAATCTTTTGCATTAAATTACCCTAATATATATGTAAATCAGTGTATGTAAAGTCTCTCCTTCGTCTAACCAAAAGATTAAAAAATGTTTTTCTCTCTAATCCGTCACTGTTATCGCTCATCTCCGACAGTTCGAGAGGAACCATCATCATCGTCCACCGCGATTGATCCGCACGCGCTTACGACGGCGACGATAACTAGGAGCTTGTATCGTCACGCGGCGCTTTGTCCCGAGCGGAAGAGGATCGACAGAACACGGCGGTGGAGACCGGCACTTTGTGCGATCTCGGAAGATACATCCACCGTATTCTTCGCCGGAGAGAGTGATCGTCGAAGGAGTAGGACTAATGTCTCGTTTGAAAAATATTTAACGAGAGAAACGACGTCGTTTGTCCGTAGGGAGACGACACTGAAGAGAGCCTGGTAGAATTATTTTGAAGTTTTTTTTGTTATTTGCTTTTTCAAAAATTTTAAAAGAAAATCTGTCAAATCCAAATAATGAACATTTTATATTATTTGAATTTTGTCTCTAGAGAGTAACGAATAGATTAGATTTACAAAATCATGAAATATTTGTTTATAAACAAGAGAAATATAATTTTTGTTTGAATGCATGCAGGAGAGACACGATAACATACCGTATAGCATCGCCGGGATTTACTCCTTCTCCGTTCATGTATTGAAGTATGTATTCTTCTTCACCTTCTGCAATGTCAAAATCTTTGTTACACTCTGTTTTATCTCTGTTTGGTTTTTGTTAGTGTAAATTATCAGGTTTTTCATATTATCTGACTACTTTTACGTTGTTTCAAAGAACAATCTTTATTTGATGGAGTTAATTTCTTGTACAAGAACTCTAATTGTTCGAAGAATCTTAATAGTTTATTTTTTTTTAAACATCTTTTCACATTTCGCCAAATAATATGATCAACTTGTAAAGTTTTTACCATTGGATGAAGTAGATTAGTGATTGAACGCAAGGGTTATATTTTTTTTTTATCAATGTCGTCAATTAGAACTAAAAAAAAAAACAGAGACCATTCAAGAAGATACTAGAAAATTTCCCCTAAAGAACCAAGCACTACTTAGGAAAATGATTTCTGTAAAATAATTTGCGCGAAAACATCGAAAGCGCAAGAATTTATAGCTTCTCTGAAAAATTATTGATTCCAAGACTTTGAGTCCTAAAACGTTACCAAACAAAAACTCCAATTCACAACATACCCCAAATTCTCGAGTACAAAGAGACAATTAAGAATCGACGAAAATTTAAATCATACACAAGTTTTCAAATCAATATATACACAAAAAACTAATTCATCACTCTTAAATTTTTGTTGTAGCATATGTATTGTTATTAGTAGAATATCTTACAATTTTTAATTAATTTGAATGATAACAAGTGTTTATAGATTTTCTCTTCAAAATTGTTTTGATTTATATTTATAAAAAGAGAGTTAAACACTAATAATAATAATACAAAAAGGTAAAACTGAGTTTGGTTTGATTTGCATAATTTTGTCTTCCATAACTATTTTTGTGTGCAAAAAATCTTCCATATCTATGGTTTGGTACATAA